AAGTTACAAGACCAATTAGATTTATTAAACGACTGGTGCACTAGTAATTGTCTGGAATTAAATATAATGAAATGCAAGGTCGTAACTTACACTCGTAAATTGCATCCAGTAACATATCATTACAAAATTAATTCTGAGGTACTTAACAGGGTGGACTCCATAAAAGACTTGGGTGTCTTGTTTGACTCACAACTTACTTTCTCTAAACATATAAATGATATTACTTCATCTGCTTTAAAAATGTTAGGCTGTATCGTGCGCAACTGTCAGTTATTTTCAAATGAAATTGCATTTAAGTCTCTGTATAACTCATACGTAAGATCTAAGCTTGAATATTGTTCATTGGTATGGTACCCACGTTACAACTATCTGAAGCTGTCATTGGAAAATGTACAAAGGAAATTTTTGAAATTTATGTCACTCAAAATAGATGGCTTTTATCCGGAGAGAGGCTATAACCAATCTACTCTACTTAACAGATTCAATATTCCTTCTCTGGAGTTTCGTAGAGTTCTAGCAAGTATAAAAGTTTTATATAATTTATTTCACAATAATCTAGAATGTCCATCCCTATTGTGCCAGTTTTGTTTTTGTATTCCTCGTATAAACTCTCGTCAGAACTATACATTTATTTGTGCTAGAGCAAGGTCGCAGTGTCTCATGATGTCCCCAGTACATATTATGTGCCGAAATTTCAATAAAATATCAGATTTGTGTGATCTTAATTTTAGCAGCCTCAATCAGATAGTTGAAACTGTTGGTATAAGATATGGTGATTTGATTTAGGTTTAATTCTATATAAGAATATTATATGTTCTTTTTCTGGGTATCGTATGCACATACAATATTACTAGCCTTCTGCGTACTTCATTCGATGTGTCTTATATATATACGTGTTAAGCATTTAACTTTTCTGTAAACAATTTGTCCTATAAGTGGATGTTATCTGTTGGGCAATAAAGATTATTATTATTATTATTATTATGCGAAAATTTAATATTATTTTATTATAATATATAAAGCTTTTCTGGTCTTTTTAAGAAAATGAGGAAGTCAAAAATGGGAATAATTTCCTCGCCATTAACATTAAAAGTGGATTTATTTGATGACTCAGAAACTAACTGTGTGATAGCTGATCTGTTAGTGGAACCTTGATCACAAATTGTACAAATTATTTTAAATCCACAACACTGCAATGCTGAAATTATTTCAGTTAACAAAATTTGTAGGTCCTTTGTTTTAATAACATCTTTTGTGTAATAATTCACGATAGGTTGCTTCCAATGTTTACTAATATCTTGTACCAAAAACACTAGAGCATGATTTGCTACCTCATTTTGTCTATCCGGGGCCCAAGATCGACATATACCGTTACTTGATCTTTATAAGTGTCATAATTTAGACCAACAAACAGAGCTAACTTTATCTCTTGTAATCATTTTACTAACATGTTCTGATAATTTACCTAACAACTTTTCATTTATCCCAACATTTAAAGGTATTTGGCCTAAATATTTCCTTATGGAAGATTTAGAGGGCAGCACAAGATTTTTTGTAAAAACCTGTAGCACCGTGACCCACGTTTGTAAATCGCTAAAGCAAGTGCTTTATTTTCTGAATTATAGATAGGTCATTTTTTTTCACAATTTTTAATTTGTGACTCAATAAATTTTACTCCTGCTGGATCAAGATGTCGACTTAATTTTGCAAATAAATTAGAATAGATGATACTACGAACATGAGCCAAATAACTTTTACATTTTAATAGTTTCCTTTTTAATTTCAAAATCTGAATTTTCTGTTGACAATCTAGATAATATATTTTTTTTATGTTTATCTGAAAGTTGAGATATTCTCTTAACATTCATAGTTTTTAAAAATGTTCTTTGTTTATTATTTTACTGAAAAGATGTGCAGCTTTGACAAAATGAGGTATCAAGTGAGGTACTTACATGACCGGTATTTGATTCCGCTTCATTCAACTTGCTATCAGTAACCTCAGTAATGGTAGTAGCGCTTGTAGGAAATAACAATTTTGAATATATGTATTTCGGTTTTTTAAAAGGTGGAGGTGAAAAATCATCCGAAATTGAAGTTTGGTAGCTTGTACTCTGAAAATTCTGTAATGTTACGCTAACAAATTGTTTTGCTGAATATTAGATACTATCCGAGGATTCCAAGGTGATATTATTACAATTAATATATGAACTTGTAGTTGATCTTAAAAATAATGTCGGCACAGCATTTCTGTTGAGACTATTCCTATCACTGCTTTTAAAACATTTTAACTCAAAATGGTCTTCACAAAAATAATGATCTGTGTTTGTCGGAGCAAAGTCTGATTTACATAATTTTCGAACTGATTCTATCCACAGTAATTGTCTGTCTTNACTAACATTTTGAAGTGAAATAATACTTTTTATCGGATTTGTTAATATATAAGCTGATACAATTTAATATCTAGAGATATTAGTAGATAAACAACAGTAGTTTCTCTGCATTTTACTTGGTACTCGTAAAATTGTTATTTCAATCAGTTAATTATATTAATTAATAAATAAAGATTGCATGGCTTGGACATAATTATATTCTTTATGATTAATCTCTGGCCATAAAATAACTTCATTTTGAGTTCCGACAATTTGAAAATGGCCTGCAGCTGTTGGAACAATCTTATGAATTTGTTAAGTTATGTAAATATAAGAAAATTGGTAGTACATAACATATTTTTACTCAGAATAATTTAGATAAGTAAGTCTTAGTATTAAATATGTCCTTTCCGTTGTAATGAACCATTTCTAGTTTATATAATAAATTGTTTTGTATTTCATAAAATATTTTTTTATTCCTTTAAACAAATGGGGTTCTGGTATGTTTATGCTTTTCCTTTATATTTAAAAGTTTAAATATATATATTAAAGTATGGACAATTTAAACAAGGTAGATTTCTTTACTTTAATATATATTTAAACTTTTAAATACAAAGGAAAAATATTTAATAATAATACCCATGGGCAACAATAAATACTGCACTTAAATTAGGCAACCAAATGTACATATACATATCTGCGGTTGTCTACATTATGCATTAGTTAGGCTTCCAAATCACCAGAGGCGCTGTGGTAATGGTTTAGTGGATTATTTAGGGAGATTTCGTTCCATCTTGTATATTATTTTTTCTATGCTCTTCAGTACACCGCTGGCTTGATAAGCTTTTCGCCACGTAATCAACAAGTTTTAACTAGATTTAGTCATTTAGTCAGTACGTCTTAATAATTATTTCACCATAATTATAAGAAATATAGCGTACTTACAGTCACACACACAATTACTTGGTCCTTAGATGGCCGCCGCCGATTTCGCCGGTTCACCTGTTACCCCAGCCAACGTCCAGTTTTGTAGTTTTTACCGTACCAAGGAATTACACTTTTTCCACTTTCACAGTACGAATTTATCCTATTTATGAGTTGTTACACTTATTTTTCATTGTTAGAAGGAAATATTCACTAGAAACGTCTTTTTTCATTAATTTCGCACCAATACATTAATCAATAATAGAATTAATAACATCCGCCGTGTCCTTTCTACTCCTTTTTCGCAGTGTTATTTCGTTATTTGATGTTTCTGACGTATTTATTTAGTACTAAATTCACATCACAGAGTGTATTAGTTTTCAAAAATTCTTAATAAATATTGGGTTGTTCATTATGCAACCAGATATACATTGTATACGTTTACTGGGTGTGCTCCATAAACCTCAAATCAATCACAAGGCAAGTTTGGTATTGATATCTAGAGGCTCTAGATGTAGCTCTTTGTCTTTTTATCTCCTACAATTAGAAAAGAACAAAACACATCTGGAGCGTCTAGATGTTAATACCGAACTTGCCTACAGTATCACAGATTACAGAGTAAGACACCCACTGGCATAGATCACAGAACATAAGAAAACGGATGCGTTTGGTTTGAGTTGTCCAATCAGTAAGTACCTTAGAGCATATGCTACTGGAGGCAGCGTCCCAGTGGGCCGAGGATTAGAGAGAGAGTGTGGTATAGGAGTTACCACTATCTATGCTATCTCTCTCTAGCAACATAGAATCGCGTGCTGCTAGAGAGAGATAGAAGATTACCTCCTATACCTCTCTCTCTCTAAACCTCCACTACACTCTTGGCCACTAAGACGCTGTCTCCAGTAGTATATGCTATAAGGTAAGTACACTGGTATGTATACAATGCGCGAGCGCGATTCTGATTGGTTTTTAGCTTATAGCAGACTACGAACTATATTTAATTTTAAATATCCATGGTGAGACCGAGGACATCCTTTATGTGAGCTGTGTCGTGGCATTGTACAAATATATCAGAATTTCCACAGGATTTGACACTATAAGGACAGTTATCTACTAGACCAATAATAGTCGTAAGTTGAGAAATTTTAGAGTAGGTAATTTGCAGCAATAAATTTAAACGTTACTTTAAGTAAAACGGTGCATTTCAGCGGCATGCAACAAGGATACCTTTTTTAAATCAAATCGAATGCTGTTTTAAAATAACTTATCATTTTCCAAAAATATCGATCATAAAAAATCTAAAGGGAACAATGTAGTGGTAAGCACGCTCAGAACGCCCTGTATATTTATCGCAACAAAACAAGCAGATATTCGTATTTATAATACAAAAAACCTAATTTTCCAAAATTTGAATAAAGATTTCTCAAATAATAAATAAATTTCGTAAAAAAGTGAAATAAAAAATCTACTTTCTCGGGTCCAAGGAAGCTAGCCTTAAAGTATGGTTCATTATTTAGTAAGCACCCTGTATATGTGAAATGTATTATAATAAAAGTTAAAAAAATTACATATTTTCAATCAGCGCCACAACACGAAATGCGTAGCATATTTACTAATATTATGCTACTACATGCCGGGATATCAATTGAAAGTTTAAAGGTAAAACTTTTTTTAACTGTCGAACTCTCCTAAAGCAATGATAAATAATTCTTGTGTTAGTTGAAAATCAAAAACTCGGCGGAAGTTTAAAAATAGAACCGTTAAACATGTAGGGCGTACTCAAGGATTTTATGCAAATCCTTGGGGCGTACTGAAATGGACTTTAAATTAGTTTTATCGGATATTGTACACTTTCCTCAGGCAGATGTAACTACGTGTTTGCAAGTTCGGATAGTCTATAAAAGGAAAATTATTAGTTTTCTTCTATTCCTTTATACAGGACTTCCAGAAACAAATGAGTCATATTTTTGATCTAAATCAGTTTATTTTTATGCAAAAAAAACTAATTTGATCACGTTTTTATCTATAATCGTGTTAAAACGTACAGTTTTTTATACAACTTCCTGTGTTAAAGATGACCCTTATATCGAGATTGTGCAATAAAAGATCTTATAGGTAAGATTGTGCCAGCATCCAATTTTAATGCCTCTCCTCCTACATCTGTATGCATGGTTGCAGATGACTGCCTAAAATTATGACTCTTTAACCACTGTGGATCGGGCAACCCAAGATATCTATCAATTCCGCTTGGAATTTTCCTATAGGTATAAGAGCGGTCTATTTTCTATAAATTTCAATCATATTTAATAATATTTTTCAATTTACTGCCAATAATAAAAGTTAGAGGTTTATTATTAGATGTATCCTTTATAAATATGACTATTTCATCTTGACTAAATTGTAACTCTTCTAAACTTACAATCATTTAGATATCCATCGAATTGTCTGATTTAGTAATCATAATTGCAGACATCTGGCAAACCTACCTTTTAGACTAAAACTTTCTTTCGTGTATCAATCCTCTAGTAGCGACGTAAATCATTCCATTTTTCATTAATTCTCCAACATTCTGTCGCCTCCAGGCCCGGTCTGGCCAGCTCGGGCAGTCGGCAAAACCCGACTTATTTTGGCAGATAGGCCCCCAAACGACTAACGAGGCTCCAAAAGTATAAGAAAATTTTTTGTAAAGAACATAAAAATGAAATTTGAATCTTTTGTAGAAATGGGATTTTCCCAACTCAAAAAAATAACACAAGTTTTATTATTTTGCCCTTTACCCCTATAAACAGTGTACCTACAGAAAAGAAAGAGAGAAATAAATATATATTTCAAAACATAAGCTCTTTAAACTAATTACTCCTTTATCTATAGGCCGTGGGCCTGGAGGAAAAACGAGTAAAATTAATAACTCCCAAACTGTAAGTCTTTTAACCTTATAATAACCCTTTACCCTATAGCCGTTTTGCTATGTGCTCGGAAGAAAAAATGAGAATATAAAAAATAACCGAGAGCTTTCAAATTTTTTAATGTTTTTATGTCCAAACTATTATTGATTTCCTGTATCCTGTATCCCGGGTCGATAGGTTTAAATGCAACAAAAAAATAAATGAAGAAGCTAGAAAAGTCATTTTTGACGAATTTTGGAACCTTGGAGATCATACTCGGCAGTGGGATTTTCTTGTAAGGTGCGTGACACGAGAAAAAGAGCAGGTTAGGTACTACATGAGAAAAAGAGCAGGTTAGGTACTGTACATAATAAATATTCCAGAAGGAATTTTTTTCGCAATCATGATAAGTTTGTCATTGACAATAATGAGAAACAAATTTGCAAAACGATGTTCTTAAATACGCTTGCAATTTCTGAAACAGTTGTAAGCGCCGCTTTGCAAAAAATTGGTGAAGGTGGTATTGTAGAACGGGACAGAAGAGGAAAACACAATACTAGACTGCATATGAACCCGGATGCTCTAATAAAAAACGTTATGGAAAATGGAACACATAAAACTTTTTTTCAAAACGAATGTACTTGGAACAAGGTTTGAGTATTTCACGAATGCACAGAATGTAGGTACCTATTTAGAATATACAAAACAACAAAAAATGGGATGCAGTAGCTACACTCAGACAATACAGGGATACTCTTAACTTAATCCGAAATTTAATAATAACTTTCTTTAAGCCAAAGAAAGATCAGTGTTCCGTGTGTGGTGCCTATAAGAATACAGATCCTGAGAAGAGAACAGAAAAAATGGAAGATGATTATAATAATCATAATTTAAACAAAATCGCGGTTCGAAATCTGAAAGACATTGATAAATCTCTAATAACAGCATGCTTTGATTTTTATTATAAAAGTAAAATCGCAACATACAACTTTACAATTTATGATTTAGGCAGCAATTAAGGCTATTGCTACGTATGGCTTGAGCAAATATCGAAGAGAGGACCGGATGAAATTGGAAGTTGTTTATGGATCTTTTTAAAAAGTATTAAAGAAAATGGCATACGAAAGGTTATTCTTTATTCTGACCGTAATCGTTTTGTTTTTGCGATGTTTGCTTATCCATCAATGACTGGATTTGGAAATAACACACCGTTTTCTTGAAATTGGCCACAGTACAAAGTAAAATAAATGTCTCAAGAAAATTTTGTAACTTTTAAACCAATGGTAAAGAAACAAAATTGGTAAAAAGATATTACTGGAGAAGCTGTAAAAATCATCAAAATCAGAGAAATCCATTGCGATCCAGTCTCCCAATAAAGTATTTTTTGTGTAGGTATAATTTTGGAGAATATCAATTTTCAAGATTGTATCAAGGTTTGCTGCCAATTGATTGAAAAATTAAGCGGCCTTTTGGGTCTGTGTAAGGCTAATTTGATACCACCGATGTATAATGGATTTTACAACTCCCTTCGTCCTGCTAGTAAGACTGACCACCAGGAAGAAAGTAATATTGACCAAGAAGATGACTCTGACTCTGAATCGTAATAAATTTTCCTGTCATTATTGTCATTATTGATTATTAACAATTATTTTTCTATCTTTTCATTTTTCTGTACCTTATTAATGTAGCAAGTTTTCTCAATAAAAATTTTGTGGACGAAAACTGTAGCAACTCATTTAAAATCCATTTTTTTCTTATCCTAAACTATTTTATTTAGATCATCAATAATTAATTATGACCTGAACAATAATTACTTTGTTAAAGAAGAACGATTTAGCTCTTGTAATAAAAAAAATAATGAACATTATTATTTTCTCAACTATTCAAATGCAATTATCTCGGTATAACCAAATTTGAGATACGACAGCTTTCCTTGGGACAGTCGATATGCACCCTAATAACACACAAAACCAAATAGGCCCCGATTTCGATTTTTTCCGACTGCCCCTGAAAGAGCCAGACCGGGCCTGGTCGCCTTGGTCTTTGTTTCGAACTAAAAATATTTAAAGGGACCAATTTGTTATCATTTTCTTCCCACCTGAGCTTAAATGACCTAAAACACAGTGGTGCTTTTGTTGGAGTGTACTTATGTTATACGGGGTCTTAAAAAATGTATGGTAGATTCTTTTTCACGCTACATCTTTGGGAAAAAACTAAGCGAAGTTACAGATATTTTAAAGTTGAAGAGGCACAGGGGCATAGTCATCACCGTGACAGAAATAAAATTACCAAACAATCTCATACAATGCCATTGCTGCTATTGATATACGGTATTCTTACAGAAAACTGTGTAAAGTTAAAAATGAATAATAATAAATAATAATAATATAAAGCAAAATACTGAAAAGACGTTTCAACTTAAATGGTGTGATAGAAAGGTTTATTGAGCAGGCTCCTATAAAATATATATAAAGGTCAACTCTTTATACTGGAAAGTATGTTAGATACTTCAAAACCGCGCAATAACCTATAGAAATAATACACGAATACTTTTTCACTGTAAAATTGTCTAAAATTAAAATTTTTTGTTTCGTTACTGCTGATAGTTATCTTAAGGAAGGAATTATTTTTCCCTGCAAAATATAGCACGTAGAAGGAAACTGTGAAGCTAAATAAGTTTTTTCGGAGTTTTCCGACCTTTTCCCGAATTTTTTCGGTCCGCTCTCATGCAGAATATTATTTCCTCTCATCTATTAGCAAAATACTAGTCAAGTGCAAAATATTGTGCACTTTGGAATTTCTGTCAACTCAAAACCTGTAGCAACTGGTCTAACCTTGTTTCAAAATTGTTTTGTTGATAAAGGTAGTCCGTTACCATATAAGATATCNCCAGACCGGGCCTGGTCGCCTTGGTCTTTGTTTCGAACTAAAAATATTTAAAGGGACCAATTTGTTATCATTTTCTTCCCACCTGAGCTTAAATGACCTAAAACACAGTGGTGCTTTTGTTGGAGTGTACTTATGTTATACGGGGTCTTAAAAAATGTATGGTAGATTCTTTTTCACGCTACATCTTTGGGAAAAAACTAAGCGAAGTTACAGATATTTTAAAGTTGAAGAGGCACAGGGGCATAGTCATCACCGTGACAGAAATAAAATTACCAAACAATCTCATACAATGCCATTGCTGCTATTGCAAAATATTGTGCACTTCGGAATTTCTGTCAACTCAAAACCTGTAGCAACTGGTCTAACCTTGTTTCAAAATCGTTTTGTTGATAAAGGTAGTCCGTTACCATATAAGATATCGATTCCACATCGTACTCTCTCGACTTCTATAAAACATCCAAACTGTTTTCCATTATTCCTGTTGCCATGGTAAAGACCTGACAAATATTTCATTTGGGGTTCTATTAGGACTACCCTTTCGGTTTTAACACATCAAATATTAACAATAATTTGAAATGGAGTGGCCCAGCCGCAATGTGGCCCATGGGGGAATCTTGCATGCCCACAAGGTCAGCTACAGCCCCGAGACCCATAAATTTTTGAAATGTAAGTACCTACTTATTTTGAAATATTACGTTTTGCGATGTCGTTTGTCATTTCATTTGGCGACATGTAAATGAGTAACGGGTGTAAGGTTATAATGTCTTTATGAAAGTACCTAGTTTATCTCCTCGTTTTAGGAACAGAGCACAATTTACAACAATGTTGGTAGTTTTGTATAAGTGGTTAAAGCTGCCATTATTCATGACACTTTTTACTCTCCTTCAAACGACTTTGGTATTTCAACAGCATTTGACTCTGCAACTGTCGTTGAACGTTTACAACATTATGAACAATTTTATTCATTTGTAAAACATAATGTACACCAGTTATAATTTATAAATAAATATAACCTTCATACTGCCAAGTTCAGAGGTCTACACAGAAACAAAGCATGAAGAGGGGAATGTAAGCAAGAGGTGATTAGGATTTTGTATAAGTTTACTAAATATACGTATAATATATATAGGCTTTTATACAAGGTGTTATAATATTCTGAGTAAATGTCATGGGCTTCTGGAGTCAAAGTTATATGATTTCAAGTTTTTTTTTAAATAACTCTGAAATTTTAATTAAATTTGGTATGTTAGTACTTATATAACTAAAAAAATCTATATTTTTTTAGTTATACACTTATGGAAGTTGTTCTTATTTTATGTAGCAGAGGTTTAGAGAGAGAGAGAGAGGGGGGAGAGAGAGTATAGGAACCAACGACCTCAGAAAGGATAGACAGTGCATTGTCTTGGTTTGTTTTGTTCTACTGTAAATATTTTGAGAACTCAGCCTCCTATTGGCTAAAGACATGTGGTAAGGTGCGCGCGCAGTACCTGCTCTATGCTAGATGTTTATTATTGTTTACGACTGTCGGCCGCCATTAATTCTTTGCGTGCTTACTGAGTTTAACGTTGTGTTTACCGTGGATTATTAGTTTCTTTGGCAGAATTTATTGTTTTTGTGAATAGACAATGGGAAAATATTGTGTTATATGTAGATTTCGCTTTAAAAGTGGAGGCAATCGCTCTTTTCACAGGTAGGTAGATTTACCATGGGCGTAACAGATAACAGACGGTAGTTTAAAACAAAATTTGAAATAGAAAATTTTCAGTGCAATAATATTGAAAATATAAAATATTTTTTTAAAACGTGAATTGTGTGTTACGGTTAAATAAAAAGTAACATGAATTGCAAAGGCAACATTATTTAAAAGGAAATATACCTAGGTAATTTGATTTTAGGATTCCTTCGAATGTTGAACGCCGAGACGTTTGGCTCTCTCGCATTTTGAGCTGTATAGGAAAGGAAAATAGTCCTAAAGATAGTGTTGTATGTTCAGATCACTTCACATCAAGTGATTTCTTAATAAGACCTGGTGGCCGAGTTTATCTTAAGGACACAGCAGTTCCTGAGTTCCCAAGTTCGTTTAGTCAAAATACAGGACCCCTATTAAAATTGTATAAACAATTTTTTGCACATAATTCGGGATCACTTTGTAGCAATTGTCACCATAACAAATTAGATCCAATAAATCTGTTTTAAGAATTAAAGAACTTAAAAATATGTGTAATAACCCCATTTACTATTTCTCTTTCATTTATCACTTAATTGTCCTACTTGATATGCATATTATTGTATACAAGTATAGTATAGCTACCATACTATATGCAACTGTAACTGTAACTTTGTGATTCCTATTTGAACTGGTAAAAACTTTTATTAATTAGTATTATTTAACATATTGATGTGTATTGTTACTGAGAAAATAAAGATTGTTGTAACTAGTATTACTTTTTTTCGGCAGTAAGTAAAATTTATTGGAGTAAAACAAACATGGTTCTATTTAATTAAAAAAGAAGTCATTAATATTATTTTAAAACCAAATTAGGTGTGAAATCGGTAAGTATATATAAATTAGACAAATATTAAAATGTATCACCCTTTTTAACACACACGCCACTGGTTAAGAGTTCCCTAGTAAACAAAGAACAATCTTCATCCTTGTTTAATAGCAGGATGTCTCAAAAGTTGTGGAAAATCAAAATAATTCCTTTGCAATGCATAGGAAATTACTTGTCTAGTCATTCTGAGGTCTTTGATAGGAACGTATATGCTATCTCTCTCTAGGAACATGCAGTCGCTGCTAGAGAGAGACAGCATATACCCTCCTATACCTCTCTCTCTCTAAACCTCCGTTACACTCTCAGCCACTGAGATGCTGCCTCCAGTACATCATTTATCTAGGCTCCAGTAGTATATGCTCTAGGATCTTGTAGTCTTACGAAAATTACTAAAAATTATCATCTTTGTCTTATTCATGATTTTGTTAAATTTGAATGTCGGTTCCTTATTTTTATTCTTAAATTCTTATTTGAAGAGCATTAAATTAGATAAATTGGATAAATTCACAATACGCAGAGAAAAATCTGAAATGAGTGATATATTATATTAGACTCTTTTAGTGTGACGTCACATATTTAAGCAAGCCGCAACAAATTGCCATAGTTGAAATTATATAGATCGAGTCTGACCTTTGTTTACAATTTACATAGATACTACAGAAATGAATAATTTCAAATTAACTTATATTTACAAGTATTTAGAAGTATTTAAGAACAGCCAACATGTGTTTCGTAAAATAGATACACTAATGTAACGAGCGTTCAAATAAAAACGTGGTCGAAGTTGGCTCTGACACATTGGACGTAGGGAGTAGCTTATAGCGACCAACTTAACCTCATTTCTCAACAAGCTGTATAGCAGCTGTCAGTTTCAATAACGTTAATGACTATATAACTTTATTTTAAAGAATAATCGTGATAACAATAACAAACAATTAAAGGAGCTGCGGAAAGTGTCCCCCTCCTTGTTATAACAATAAATTAAAGCAGCTGCTGAAAGTGTCCCCCTCCTTGTTCCAAGCACTTTTCACACCTGTTCCTCAAAGAATTAAAGACATTTTCTAAGATGCTCGGGGTATTGTTAATTTCACGAATCTTGTCTATAAGTCGAGCCTGCAGATGGTTTAAATCAGGAATAGGCAGTTCAAAAATAGTGTTTTTAAGGTAAGGCCACAAAAAGAAATCACACGGCGTAATATCACATGACCTCGGTGGAAATTCATGTTCAGCATTGAGACTTATTAGTCGATTTTGGAAAACTTCCCTCAACATATTCATCGTCTCGCCTGCCGTATGTGCCCTTGCGCCATCTTGTTGAAAGTAAAAGTTTGTAATTTCGTTTTCTTCCAGCTGGTTAACAAAAGGAGCGATAATTTCTTCTCTATACCTTTGCGCAGTAAGAGTACCATTAAAAAAAATAGGTCCATAAATCCTCCTTCGATTGAGAGCACACCAAACTCCAATTTTTTGAGCGTGTAGAGGGCCCTCGACAAAAAAGTTATCTGGTTTTTCAGAAGACCACATTCTCATATTCTGTGAGTTTACGTAACCACTTAAATGAAACCAGGCTTCATCAGAAAAAAAGGTGATATTATGAAGTTCACCGTAGTTGTTTAAAAACCATTCACAAAATACAGCCCGTCGCGGAAAATCAACTTCATGAAGTTCTTGCTGACAAGTTAAACGATAGGAGAACAAACGCAAATCTTTTTTTAACACTGTGTGGCAGGTACCGACTGATACTCCCACCATTTGTGATAAAACACGTACAGAAGTTCTTGGCGCATTTTCCATTATTTGTTGGACATTTTCTTTTAATTCTTCAGTCCGCTTTTTAGGTCGGCCGCTTCCTTCTTTTCTTGTTACACTGCCCGTTTCACGAAAAACATTAACACAACGCTGAACTGCACTTTGAAAAATTTTGTACTCAACAACGCCGGGAAATTGATTTTGAAATTCTATGAAACATTCCTCAATAGAATACTTCCATATTCCATCAATCTTGCGTCCATTTCTAAAGTAGGACTCTATGATAAACACTTTTTGTTCTTGAGAAAACACCATTTTAAACGCTTTTTAAAACGAAAATATTCAAATTGATAGCGGCGATATAGCGCTTTGACAGATGACGTTTAAGTTCATTTGCTATACGCTACGCCCTACGTCCAAATTTTCAGAACCAACTTGACCACGTTTTTATTTGAACGCTCGTTATTTAAAACTTACAAAAATCGATGTAAAAAAATTCTTTAAATTAAGTAAAAACTAATGCGCATGCTCGAGAAAAATAGCCTCATACGCAGGTGAGATCTTGTTGATATATCATCGCTGTCATCATTAGCGTATTTCCTCTTCTTTTGTTTAATCTTGGCATTTTCTAATTCTACGAAGTATTTTTTTTATTATTTTTCTTGGTGCTCTGCTGTGTCAGTCTGTTTATCGACTGTTTTTCTTTTCTTCGAGTGGTTTATTGTAGACGTACTCTTAATCAGAACCGAACTTTTCTTGAATGGTATCCTGTTGCGAGGCTATTTCGCTTACATTAAATTATCTTTAATGAGCATGCTCAGTAACATTGATATAATTTTAATTTATTAATTATCATAAAAGTCAATATTCTTCTATAAATTTAAAAATATAAATTCTATAATTCTTTTAGTTTGTCACTTGGGGTTTGAAATTTCTTAAATATTTCTAGTACCTACTACTAGAATATCGCGATATTTAAGGTCATGATAAAGAGGCTATTTTTTTTGGTCCAAAGTACATAAGGTCGAAAATCGATCTAGTAAAAATAATGAGAAATTCTTCATGACAATGTGTACTATAGGGTTGCCTATTATTTTGTGTATGTGACGTCACTAAAAAGGTCTATTGTTTCTTTTGACAGAGCTATATTGCTTTACTACTACTACTTTACTACTTTATAACAGCTTTACCAAATCGAAATACAAATAATGAATTTAAGTTTATTAAAAAAATTAACAAAATTTAAATAACGCTTCTGAAAATAAATCGATTGTTGCACACATATCATTAAAAATATTTTGATGTTAACAGGTTTTGATCGACATGACTATTCTGCATATGTATATTAATTGATGTTTTGATTCAAATTTCAAAATAATTACAGCAAACTGTTGACACGGAAACAAAACAGTTCATTAAATAATATAAATGATTTTATTTATGAATTTATATAAACACCGACAAGTGACACCTTAACAGACAACTTATCAAAATAAACTCAACGTTATTTTTGTCATGACATGTATTTCAAAAGTATAGTAAACATATAAAGTATATAGATATTTCCACCCAGAACCACAAAACAACTCTAAGAACCACCAAAAACGTCAACAATACTCTACCAAGTAATTATTACAAATTTTCGCTTTCTTGTCTTTAACAATTTTATGTTATTTATAACTTTACTATTTACTCCTTTTTAGTCTTATAAAAACAGCCAAATTGTAAAGGTTAACCATTTTTCAACCCATTGCTAGCTTAGTGATGCAGAGACCTACACAATTATACCAAAATTCCGATCGGACCATCCCTTCGCCCAGCGGTCGCGACCGAATATTTGTTACACTTTGAAAGTTTAGACTCACCATACATTGTTAAATTTTCCATATTTTCCTATTTTCATATTCACTTGAATTGGCTAGAGTTGTGTCACCATATCGATCTCTAATACATTTTTAAATAAATTCTAGGCAAAGCAAATTTCTATTCAATAACCAAATATAAATTTTCAATGACGTACGAGTATAATATACAGCATAACCGATAAAAGGTCGCTTAAAAATTGACACTACGCAAAAGGTGGACATTTCCCACCACTGACGGTTAAGTCGTCAAGAGATAAAAAGTAGGTTGCACTAGAAAAAGCTGCGTCTCTCCATACATTTGAATATAAAAAAGATTCAAGATGCTTACTCAGTTCTCGAAATATTCTGATATAAGCTTGCTACTTTCGTAGAAACGTCACGAAGCACTTTTTTCTTACGGTTACTGAATGAATTTTTGCATTTCTGGATTTTCCAGATGCATAATGTTTCGCGATTTATTTTTTTTCTTACTCAAAATTATATATCTATTATTTTCAAAGCAATTTGAAAGAAAATTTATAGTTCTTCAAAAATACATACACATCTGCTTTTCTAACTTATCCAACTTTTTTCGGTTACATCTTCTACGAGAAAGCCAATGATGGCAAATGAAAAATCGTCCTCTCTATATATAAATTTTCCAGTGTTAATGGACGAAAGTAAGATGACCATGATGCAAAGGAACAAACTCAACTACTACCTTCGAAACGGCGAGCCCCTTCCTTCAGCGAGAAAAATTTCCTCGGGCTCAAAATTGAACGTGCCTCTGGTCACCATAAGGCCAGGGTCCTCCAAAAGGAGATCCAGGGACACGATCATCAAATCAGGGGTTTACGAAAGAGACAAATATTATCCGATACATCCAAAGGTCGATAGAGAAAAGGAGAAGGAAAAGTTACAGGACAAAATGGCTTACAATAAAGAGATCAAAGTTAGGAAGGCCAAGGTGCTGAAGGGAAAAGATAAAGGTGACGATGAGGTAGAAATTAACAGGTTTGATCAGTGTAAGTATATTAATATGTATGTTATTACCGATGTTATTACTAAGGTCCGTGAATAAATCGTACATTCCAGGGTTGTATTATATTTTCATACGGTATTATGAGAAATAGATTTTTTGCGGTAGCATCACAACGCCTGAAGAATAGAATTAATATATATTTATTGAATACTAAAAAATAAAAGTTAAAATTCAATGGGCTTCTACTTTCCTCTCTCCTCCCACCCTTTATTGAATTTGCAAATACTTACGATGTGCGGAGAATGAGTGGCTCTAGAGTCAGTTTTACAGTTTTAATCGAGTGTTCACAGCACATTTGTTTCATATTATGTATTGTCAACTCACTCGCGTTGGCGCAAACAGCTACCCGCTGAATCCCAACAACGAAGGTTCACTATGCCCGTTTGCACCGTAGTGTTTAATCCAGGATTATGTCTGAACTTGGATTAAAATATAACATTTTGTTTGCACCGTTTCAAATCTATGTATTAATCTAGGATTAATTTAAACCCTCAAATTTCACCGCTTAAACTTGGATTAATGAGAAAATATAAATTGACACTATTGACAGTACTTAGCTGCTAGTTATAATTTTTTTAAATATGCATTTCTTCCTTTTCCTGTGGACTGTGTATGAGTGAGTGGTGTTAAGACATCATTGAGAACTTTGAAATGGATTCAGATTCTGACTTTGATGTATTGGATGATTTTGATATTCACGAAATTATAGACTTTGGATTTTCTAGATATATTAGAAATCATCTATTTCATAATCTAGACAATATGATTTTTTTCTACAGATTTAGGTTTACAGAAGAGACCACATTACATCTGCTAACTTTAATTGAAGAGGAGTTGGAATATCCAAATGATATGTAAATTTTACGAACACGTCGGCATGAACACGATGCAACTGGCAATCAGAATTTTGGAGTTATAAAAAGCTTTTATTCTTAACATGATTTTGTATTTCTGGGAATAAAAAAGTGTATCTCCTCTCCAACAATTGGTTCTATGCTTGTGCTGGTAATTTGTCTGCTATTGCAGACTTTTCAGGGATGGACATATCAACAGTGTCCAGAATAATTGTACGAGTATCAATTGCAATAGCTCGGCTTTATCAGAGATACATAAAAATGCCAAACCCAGAAGAAATAGTTAGTGTGCAACATGAGTTCTATAAAATTGCATCATTTTCTAGAGTGTTAGATGTCATTGATGGTACTCATATTAAAATTTTGGTTTGAGAATTTGACTTCTATTTTTTTCCGAACATAACTGGACATAAGTTAGCAGCATAATAAAATCCCTAAACAGTATTCCTAAAGCCCAGTTTAATTTAATCTACAATCGGCAGTAAGTGGTGCAAAAGCTGATTATTAAATCCTAGATTTAAAATTGAACCAAGTTCAGTTGAACTTGGCTTAAATTCTAAACCGTGCAAACGGGCATATAACGTTGTGCAAACCAAAATAAGATTTATTCTTCTGCTAAACAATGTTACAAAACTTTTGCATGATTGACATACGTCAGTAAACGACAACTCTTTTTTTTTACATTCCCTTGATTAATATAAAATAGTATTCAAGTAAGTATAAAAGTACAGATATCTTGACACGTATCGTAACAAGATCCTCACTCGGATACCGATTGGATGTTGAAACAGATTTTTTTTTGCAACCTTTATTTTTCTTTTATTTCCTTTAATACTATTTCAATAAAATTTCCAGTTAAAAGGTAATATATAAATATCCTCAATCCGCTCCTGGTTTTTATGATGTACGGTTGATCCGCGGACCTTTGTTACATATAGGTTACATATTCCTCGTATGTGGATTCAGTTCCCTTAAAAATTATTATCGGTATATTTGTTTGTTCTTTATTACATTAATTATAATGCTCGTTACTACATAAATTAAATTTTATTCTTTGAAATGACCGAAATATTACCGTTTTTAAAAAGCTACCATACAAAAGGTACGAACTTTAGCATGTATGCAACACTATGTTGTTTTTTAATTTCAGTAATGCAAGAAATAAAGGATAGAGAAGACTGGTTAAAAGAAATGGAGGAATTGGGACAAGGAGAAAAATATAGATTGATAATTACGCAACAAATTCAGAGCAAAGTTCGAGAAATGCAAAACTTGAAATTGCCGTTTAAGAAATGAAATTATTTTTTTTACAAATATTTTATTTTTTATTATACAGATATACAATAAATTTTACTTTTTAAATAAGTCTGTTTTAATTTTTTATAATTTTCCTTTAAAATGATTCAGTCTAAAGGCTGGGTTAAACAGGAGGCGGTCTGCGCGGACGGAACGACCGTAGTCTGCCGCGGAATAGGGTCAGACAGAATGTGGATAAATCAAGGCGAACAAGCGACTTATTTTTCGAGCAGAGTCGTGAGATTCGCGGGTGGTGGGTAATTTTTCCGCTGGAAAAGTGTCTCGAGGAGGTTTTTTCGTCGGGCCGTGGCGCGTATTACGCCTTTAGAATCTCTTTTATTTATATTTGTTTGAAAAAATAACGGTTTGTCAGGTGCTAGTAAATTTTTGAGAAAAAAAATTACAAACTTTAGCAAAACTCTTTGTTCGGCTAGCTTTTACTCTTGAAATAAGTAATTTTGATTTTGTTAACTATCAGGTAGAGGTCCTGTAGGCTTTTAACTAAAACGAGCAGTAAGCAATAATACTTTTTATTGTTTAATGAAAAGAACAACTTTTCCCAGTGAACCAATATGTATTTAGGTTACAACAACAGCTTACTAATACTATTAAATGCACTCTAAAAACAAAATTATAACAGATTTTAACTACACAATTCACTAACATGAATTTTACTACGATTTGGTAATCTAGCTAATCAGAAAATAATAATATGTTATAATTATAAATCTAAAATACAATCTAATATCACACAAATATCGAGCTAGCAGTCGGAAAAAAAGAGTACCTTATTTATAAAAATGTTCTGTTAGAGAACAAGCCACATTAAACAAGTAATTTGTTTAAAAAATGAAAACATAATTTGAAAAAAAAATTCGGATATATATGAACCGATAAAAGAGAACCCTTCGAATAACATCGCTGGTACACGCTGAATTATCAGTACGCCTCTGATTGGTAAAATTTCGAACAATCACAACTTTTACAAATTTGGAACAATGTGTGTGTTATAGAAACGCCAATCTCGCTTTATTAATCTTATCCGCGATAATTTTTAAGATGCAAGCGCATCAAGCAGCGAAAGCGGTAAGCTTCGAGGCAAGGTAATTTTGACATTGCCGTTCGTATTTACAGATTCATTTGAACAACATTAATCTTATTTCCCATTATTATTAGTAATTTTGTTATTAAACTACGGTTATTTGACTTTTGTGATGTTTTATAGGTTTCAAATATTTCATAAATAAATTTTAATGCAAGTATTTCTGTCTACCTTGTTTGTTCCTAGCATTACAATTTAATGCACTTTTTTTGAGGTTATAACTATGAAGTTATCCGTTGTGGAATACCAACATTTCCTGTTTAAGTGCCAACGAAATAGTGACGGGATCATCCGAATGAAAAATAATCGATCATCCGATTATTGAAATAATCGAAACCTTCCGATTATTAAAAAAGAGTTCGGATGATAATCGGTCACTACTCCTTATCCCAAAACCCAACAAAGATCACACCATCCCATCCAACTACCGGCCCTTTAGCCTGCTCCCGACTATGAGCAAAGTAGTTGAAAAAATCATCCTAACCCGTCTAAGAACCCACTCCCAAGAACTGCAAGTCATTCCAGACGAGCAGTTCGCCTTCCGACCCAATCACTCCACTGAACTCCAAATTCTTCGCCTTACCGAGCATATCACGGCGGCCTTTAACAGGGGACAGTACACTGGTGCTGTTTTCCTGGACGTCGCAAAGGCCTTCGATACGGTTTGGCATGAAGGCCTACCGATGAAAATGTTCACCAACCAATATCTCATATCCTTTACCAAACTCATAAAATCTTACCTACACCACCGAAAATTCCGCATCCAAATCCAAGACTCCCTTTCCACCACCCGTCCCATGGAGGCCGGTGTCCCCCAGGGCACCGTCCTGTCCCCACATCTATACACATCCCAATCCGTAGATCCTAGTATTCCGCCTCCCTCCTTCAAAACTCCTTAGACCAACTTGAAACCTGGTGCAACAGGTGGAAAGTCAAAATTAATCCCAACAAAAGTTCGGCTATCCTTTTTACAAAACGAAAAATCCCACAAAACCTCGACAGACTGACACTATCCCAGGAACCCATCCCCTGGAATCGACAAACGCGATACCTGGGCGTGACGATGGACGAGCGTCTCACGTGGAAACCGCACATCGTGGAGACGGTGGCGCGAGTGAAGACCACCAGGGCTAGGCTCTATCCCTTACTCAAAGGTGGAAACACCTTTAGTTTAAGGAATAAGCGAACGCTTATCAAGGTGGTACTTCAACCGCAGCTAACCTATGCCTCCACGGCGTGGGGTCACGTGGCAAACAGCCATTTAAAGTCACTACAGGCTATGGAAAACATAACCCTCCGCACGGCCACCAATGCTCCCTGGTACGTAAGAAACACTGACATACTACGAGACTTACAATACACAAACGCTACACAGACAATAAGACAAAACGCGGAGAAACGGTTTGACGTAGCCGCTAGACATGACAATCCCCCCCTCAGGCAAGCCGTTGACTATGTACCCGACGTGACCGACAAACACAAAAGACCTAGACACCAACTTTTTGACCCGAAAAATTAAATAAATATTGAGTATCATTTTGTCATATCAAACTTTCAGATATAATACCGAGTATAATACCATTTTAGAGATGGTTAAAAATATATCTTCGTATCTTTTAGAGTAGTGTATCTAATCTCTTGAAAATATACATATAGTGCAACTAAACTAAATATACTATTTAACTTGCTGTTTTTCGTTTGTGTTCAATTTGAATTTTTAATATGGTTTTCTACTTGAATATACCATTCAGGTAGTTCTACAGTGTGTCCAGTAATTCCATTTGTATATTTGATTCTATATGAAAATAGGCTAAAATTCTTTTTATTTTATTTTTATGGAACCGCTTAAATATCAATATAAATTTAGTTTCACGAATTACTACCAATGGGCTATTTGCATTGATTGCATTTTTACTAGTGTGTACATAGTTACTCAATATCATACGCGGCCTCGATTATACATTTAAAAAAACGGATAAAAATTAGAAATACGTATTCATTCATTTCATATTTTTGTATAAACGCAATCAGCAAGTGTATACCACTTCATTTAAAGCGTTTTTTTTACTATTGGTCCAGTTAATGTTTTACAAGACCTTTTCATGTGAAAAAGTCGGTTAAATCGAAATTTCAAAAAAGTAGCTAGCTAGATAATGTATTTTAAAAATGAACTTGTTTCATGTTTTTATATGTAGAATCATCCTTCCAAATTTCCAGATATATGAATGGAGTTTCCTGACACTCTGTCTAATCAAAAATCTTATGCTTATGCTTTATAATATAGGGGGTACTTAAAGAAATATTTGCCATTACTCATAAGAAGATTAGTCATCCAAAAATATAATAAATAACTCCTATGAACTCCGTTTCTGAGAAAAAAGGAATATTTTATATTTTAGCAGTTCAATTAAAATTTCTCTTGCAAAAAGTAAGTACCTACTTAAAATTTATTATGCTGGTAGCCTTAAATTGTTTGTTGATAACTTTGGGACAGGCAGTACACAAAAAACATACCTTTTTGTATCAACATTTTTTGGAAAATGGATAGTATGAGTGACATGTATACTCTTTTAAAGGTGGATCGTATACTGGGTGTTCCGAAATTAATGCAACAAAATTTGGTCACAGATTTTTAAGACAAATTTAGAGAACCCATATTTTTTATTTTTGCCAAGTGGCCTCCTTTTTCGTAATTACAGCCGCCTGAAATCCTCCCTTAAGAATAGTCTTTTTTTATATCTCAGAATCCTGTTGTACGAGAATCAATAAATTTGGTACACAGGGGTTTTATGACATGTGGAAAATGATAGTGTTATGTTTTTTGGCGGGGAAACCCCTCAATATGCTTTTTCGTGGGCCCCCTTGTCATTCGAGGTAAAAAAATTTGGTCGCATATTTGAATTTCTTCAAATTTTAAAATTAAAAATGAATGATCCATTAGGAAGCTATTGAATTTAGAAACTTCGTTGTCTTTTGATATTTTTTTCGTAAAATGCAATGTTTTCGAGAAAAATGGCTAATTGTGATCGATTAACACATAGAATTTCATTTCATACGAATCACGATATGCATTCGATCACATTTTGCCATTTTTCTCGAAAACTTTGTGAGATATCTTAAAAACCTTTGGATATTTAGATATTTCAACTATAAGTGTGTTAGAAAGAGCAAAAGTAATTTTCAAATTTAAATAATCACCCTATAACTATGAAAGATAAATATGTATGGACATAGGGCATTACTTTATATGGTCACATATATATTTTTAATAGATCTTTACAAAAATAACCTCGGTACGGATATTCATTTAACTCATTTCATAGAATAAAATTTATAAATATAATTATAATCAATTATATGTTAGCATTACACAATAGATTTTAAAACAAGAAAAGTGCCCAGTTCAAAACTGTACCTAAACATATGGAACTGACCCTTGCACTACCATGTCCATCTTGCTCACTCTCTCTATAAACTGAGAGACTGCCTCGGTCATTGCTTCCAATTCTTCTATGGGTTGTTTAATTCTAACGCACTCACCATTTTGTAAAGAACAATTAACCTTGGAAACTTGTTGAATGAGGGCATGTTGCGAGCAAGTAGATGGCCAAGAACCAATCCAAGTCTAGCCATTCTGCCCTCAGAGGTGTGAGTAACTATTTGGTATACCTAATAAATGTTAAAACTGATTTGCCTATCTATTTTTGTCGAAGCGAGTAAATAGTATTTGTTCTTTATAATTATCACTACTGTCTGTCTGTTCGCGATAAACTCAAAAACTACTGCACTGATTTTCATGCTGTTTTCACCAATGGATACAGTGGTTCTCGAGGAAGATTTTAGTATATAATTTGTTGTTAATTTGGCAATTTTAACATGATATTTTGGTCACCCTGTA